TAGTCATTATCGTCGCTTGTGGCTTCTAAACATGAACTTCACTTCGACGTACATTCTTTGTCTGTTCATATATATACACTACAACAATCTGTAGTAGACTATGGTATACTATGGTGTACTCGACGTACATTCTTTGTCTGTTCATATATATACACTACAACAATCTGTAGTAGACTATGGTATACTATGGTGTACTACGGTGTACTATGATCTGTTCATATATGTACACTACAACAATCTGTAGTAGACTATGGTATACTATGATGTACTACAGTGTACTATGATATACTATGGTTTACTACGGTATACTATTCCGAAACCTAGCCGCGAACAACTCTCAATCGGCTAGCAGTAAACGCAGCCACATCAAAATCCTAGCAGCCAAGCCCTATCTTCTTCATCAGCTGCCCTTAATTTTGCTTCCATAGCCTCAGTTTGTTTCTTCTCTCCAGCCCTATCTTCTTCAACGCAAGCGTCATTCATGTAAAGGCGAGCCTTGAAGAGGTAGCGGTTAGCTCTCCCTAGGTAGCGGAAATAATTGGCCCTTACGCTCAAGTTATCCTGTACAACATGTACGGTGCGGCTGCAAAACATGTTCTTTCAATTGACGACAACACGGCTGCTCCACCATCCGTTGGGCCGCTTTAAGGCAAGGCTTCCAATCGTGTGGCACCGGAATTGGCATGCTCTTGTACTCACCTCCACAATTCTGCATTATTTCGTACGCCGACTGTCCTGGAGGATCCGGCTCCAGAGTGTTGTACACTATGGCAAATAACGCGTACTCTATTGTGTACTGGATTTCGCGCCTCTCGTCATCCGGCAACATTATATTTTTTTTTCTTTTTCCTGCTGAATATGAATATTCCAATTAATATTAATATTAATCAAACAAGAAGACTATAAAAAATCTCAGTGCTAAAAAAATATTGAGAATGAAAACAGGTAAGAATTTTTTATTGTTAAAATAAATATTGAACATGCAAAATAGTATACATAAAAGAACATACAGAGAAAACACAGAACACGGACTGATAAATTAAAGAATAGAAAATATAAGTCTCTAACCCGTCATCCTCTTCTCCACTCGCCGCCTCATCCTCTTGCCGCCTGTCATTCTCGACAGCAAAATCCGGCGCCGCCGCCGTCAATCTCAGATCTAACATATCCTCTCGATGTGAAAGAGAGCACCACTACAGAAAGAGAGAAAAGAGAGAGAAAGGTGTGGGGCGGTTGAAGAAGAGAGTGAGCCAGGGTAGGCGGCGGATAAAAAGAGAGTGGGGAGAAGAAATAGAGAAACGTGGTTTTTTATTAGGTATATCAAGGGTATTATACGGTTAAATAAAAATAAAAGGATGTGGGTCAAATTAAATTTTCAAATAAGGATTTAGTAAAAACATTCTATTTGAGGTTGTGTCCCACATCTAATTATGTTTGGTTTTAGGGGTGTCTCCAATATTAACCCTATATATTAGCTTTTGATGTTTTAAAATAAAATATCCTACATTTAATAAAATACGTCCTGCATTTATCACCACTCTTTCTTAAATCCCATTGAAATTTTCACCACCACCACCATCGGCAATCACCTCGTTATGCCTCCAACTCCAACCTGATATAAGAACATGTCTTCCCTTAATTTGTTTTTATTCTCCATTGAAGTCGTCACCACCACCACCTCCGGCAATCACCTCTTCACGCCGCCACCTCCGCCGGCCCCACCTCTTTCCTTCCACAACATGTTTCCTCCACTCTTCTTGCCGCAAACACCAGTCCACCGCCAACTTCACCTCGCTGCCGTCTCCCATTCCACCTCCCACTGTCACCAGAATTACCTCCTCTCCGTCGTCGCCTACGGTGGCGAGGAGCTGCAGAAATTGTGGCAATTTTGTCATTTCCTGCAACAAAAAAAAAAGAAAAAAAAAAAAGAAGATGGTGGCAATTTTGTCATTTCCTGCAACAAAAGGAAGAAAAATCGCAGAAACCGTACGTGAGACACACGATTTGCGACGAGAGGGGTTTTCGTCTTTGACTAATAAATACAGGGGTTTATTTGCTAATTTTTTTACCTCATTCTTACGATTTTCTTTGTCGAATTTTAGGATACAGTGACAGGAGGAACCGACACTACGGCTATAACACTTGAATGGGCAATGGCCGAACTTATGAATAACCCGGATGCAATGAGCAGGGCGCAGAAAGAATTATCGGAAGTAGTGGGATTGAACGACATTGTTGAAGAGCTTCACATTCCAAAATTGAAATATTTGGAAGCAGTTATAAAAGAAACAATGAGGTTACATCCAGCAATACCTCTCTTGATTCCAAGGTCTACTTCGCAATCTTCCACCGTCGGAGGATATACAATCCCGAAGGGTACTACGGTCTTTATAAATGTTCGGTCTATCCAAAGAGATCCTTCGATTTGGGACAAGCCATTGGAATTTCGGCCGGAGAGATTTCTTGACGACACGATTGAGAAATGTGATTATAGAGGTAACTATTTTCATTATCTACCGTTTGGATCGGGAAGAAGGATTTGTGCCGGGATGCCCCTTGCGGAGAGAATGCTGATGTATTTGCTGGCTTCATTTTTGCATTCCTTCGATTGGAAATTAGGACAAGGGGAAATACTTGATATGTCGGAGGCGTTTGGGATTGTCCTAAGGAAAGGTACACCGTTGATTGGTGTTCCAAGTCCTCGGTTATCTGTTTCAGACCTATATGATTAGTCACACGTACGTTGGTTAGGAGTAATAATTGTTGCGGTACTTTCGTTCCGTTTCTGTGATCTTATTGCTAAGTACTGTGTTATTGTTATGTAATTTTACTATGAAGTTTGACTTCACCGATGCACATGTACGTGTGTTGGTGCAGATATGGCTAGTGCCTACTTGTTTATCATCTACGTGTGATGTTGTTGGTAATTGTCACCTATCAAAATTGAGTCCTATAAAGTTTCTACTACTTCCTTATCAAGAAAGACCCATGAAACCAACAATTTCTTACAACATTATGGGGGACAAAAATTGGGCACAAAAGAACAAGAAGACAACTACGAACAAGGCGGAGATCCGACAAATCTCCATCATCATTTTCTTCTCTTCTTTAAAACTATGCTCTTTTATATTTTTTTGATGTTTTCAGTGGGATTAAGTCGTAGCTAATTTTTCATCTGGATTTTGTCGAAACCCTATCATGTGATTTTGAACCTACTTTTCTAATACTAGATAGGTGCACTTGCATTGCAGGTGTCGTGTTAATTGAATCTAATTCGATAACCTTTTATATATACTTATTCACTACAAGAAAACAAATATTTTGCGAGGATAAAATTCATCGTGAAATCGTTTTGTAACGATTTTGTTTCGTTACCTTGTTTGTCCTCTAAATCCCAACGCTAGAAGTATTAGAAACAAGTATCCCTAATTCGTTACGAATACTAGTGACAAAGAACCATTCGTTACAATAGGTCCATTACAAATAACAAAGTTATCCTCGCTAAACATTTTTTTATTCTTACAAAAGACTCATTCGTCACCACTACTTGTTTTTAATATTCGTGTTTTTTGCAAGGACCACCCTTGTGTACTCTCGAATTGCCGAAAAAACCTTTGTGTTAAAAAAAATTAGCACAAACCCCCCTATGGAAATTAGTCAAAGGCAATAAAGACCCTTCGAGCTCGACGTGCGATACACTCACGGTTTGTGCGAGTGGGTGTGCGGTTTTTGGACATGAAATGACCCAAATAACCTTTACATTCATTTAAATTAGAAATTTTGAAAATTACGAAATCACCCCAAAGTGTTCATATGCCCAGAACAAAGTTTTCAAAAAGTTTAATTCAGTCCCTAGTGTTTTCAGAATTGCCCTCTTCAACATCAAGATTCCGCCTTTCCTTTCTGGCCCCAAAAAAATCGTCTTTGCCACACCATTAATTCAGAAGATTTGGACCATAAACATCTCAGGCCCACATCTGCAGCTATAGAATTATCCATATTATCAGGAATCACAACTCACCGCACTGAATTTCTCCCTCGACATTCTTTAAAGTCTCAACTGTGTTTTGCCTGAATTTAGCACACACTTGGGTGTCCCACTTTTTGTAGCTCTGAATAACTCAAAAACAATTTGAATTAGTTTTCTAAATGAAGAAGTTTATTGGTATTGGTGCGGATTGCGGCGGTAGAGGTCTGAATAGGGGTGCAAGTTGGAACGAAATTTTCAATTTTCGTCGATTCCGATCCGAAAAGTTCCGATTCTGGAACAACTTTTTTCATTCCGGCTTCCGATTTCCGAATTTTTTCGATTTTTTTGGATTGTAATTGGAATTATATAAAATATATTTGGAATTTCCGATTTCCGATCCGATTCAATTCCGAAATTAATTCCGATTTTTTCCGAAAAATACACCTATAAATAATATATATTATATAATACTTATTTTCCAAAAATACACCTATAAGTTTTGTTTAGGATTTTGACATAATGAATTTTTGTTAGAAGTTTTATTGGATATTATGCTGTGTTTATTTTTAGGGATATGATAAATGTCGTTCGAGCTTTAATAGTACCGTTTCGACTTCAAACGTGATTTTGATCATTTTTAATTCCAAAATTTGCAAAACTCGAAAAATAGAATTTGTAGTATTCTAAATTAGTTTTCTAATCCAACTTAAATCACCAAAATTGGATGTCGGACGAGAAAGATATACATGAATCAATGGATACTGCCCACAACTTTGATGTATTGAGGTATCTAAAATTTAAAATGTGACTCATTCATGCATAACTTTGGCACACGGCATCCAATCTAGCGGATTTAAGTTGGATTAGAAAGCTAACCCAAAGGACTACAATTTTCGTGTTTCGAATTTTACCAAAATCAAAATAGATATATGTCAAAATCAAATTCGAAGTCAAAACGACATTAGATAAATTGAAACGACATTTAACATTTCCGTTATTTGGGTTTTTTTAACTGAAATTTAGTAGTTATTAGTTTTATTTTTATCGACGTGAATGTTTTATTTTTGAAAAAGTATGAACATTTTACAAAATTTCGCAATTATAACTTGGCACAATTCCATTAAATAATTAAATAAACATATTGAAAATAAAAATATTATGATTCATTATATCAATTTAATTTTTCCGATCCCAGTAAAAGAACTGCCCCACGGATAACAAAAATGATTGGTAACAATTTGTCTAATTTAATTTTATAAAATATCATTTTTTGGGATGTTTTGTTTTTCTTTTCCTAACAGTTTGTAGCCTAGAAATTGGATTGAAGGGTTTAAAAAAATCATGTTTCACTTTGAAAAAAAAGTATAAAGAAGAACGTATTCTCATTAACTTATAAAAATTCAATATGTGGTGCATTTTGAATGATTTATAGTGTTTCAAGGATGCAAATTATTATTAATTTGTTTTTAGGGTGTAAAGGGCCAAAAACCTATATTTCAGGGTGCAAATTAGAATGAAGCCTTTAGTTATCGCGTACACAGTATATGTTATCATGTATTAAACTTGTCAGTATAAACATAACGTAAAGTATAGTAAAAGATGAATATATGCAATGGAGTTTGTGGTATTCCGCTCGGCTTCAAGCAAGATGGCAAGCATTTCGAACCGAATAGTGCCACATAAGTTTATATTGATTACATGGTTGGTTCATCACTTTAACTCTTATTCCTCGAGTCGACTTATCGGAAATTAATTTGGCACGGTCTTGAGTTTAATGAGATCGATAATTCAAAATTAAAAGTTTTCAAGCTACTGATATTATTATGATGATGCGTCTCGTTCAGTCTACATCGTCAACTATTACTTTATATTCTATAAGAGCCGATAAGTTCTTCAATGTGTTAGTTGAACTCAGTGCCGGCCCTGAGCCCATGCTGCACAAGCAATGGCTTGGGGCCCCACTTCTTTAGCGGCCCCCAAATTAAAAAAAAAAAAAGTATATATACATATATAAATAGTCTTGTGTTTTTAGTAGTTTAAAATGAGCTTTTTATAAATCACAATATTTAATTGGGATTTAGGGTATATTTTCAATCCGGCTCAAATTAATTGCACATTTTCTGTTAAGCATTGGGAATGAAAAACAAAAAATCCTACTGCATCAAATTTAATATTTTACTGTCCATCATTAAAGAAAAAAAAGAGAAATAATTCATCTTTTTTGTCATAACTTACGTTGCAACTCAAAAAACTTTATAAAAAATAATAATAATAATAATAATACTAAATAAATAAATATAAATAAATTTCAATAATATTTAGTGTAGGTTTATGCATTTTTATCCTCATTCACTAATGTCATAATATATTTATTTTTGTTTGTTTTATCAAGTTAAATAAGTATTAATCATAAAATAATCATTTTTTTAAAATACGCTTAGGGCCCCGAAAATGTCAGGACCGGCCCTGGTTGAACTCAACACACCAATTTATTTAGGAATAAAATAAACGACAATCTATATGCATTAACAAATAAATTACGGCCACCATCTGAGGCAATGTTAAATTACAAAAAAAAAAAACCTTTTGTTTGGGTAATTACAACCACCCATGAATTATAAATCTTCTCACATGTCCATCATTGCATTGTAGTGGAATCTTCTAGATTATATGGAATATTCTCCAATTCGTACCCGTTTTATCCCATTCGAGCTCTACATTTTGAAACAAGATGATCATAAGATGTGTCTCTTGGCTTGTAAATATTAGATTGTGGTGCATCAGAAACTGCATTTTTGCACAAAACAAGTACAAACTAGAGACATTCCACGCAAACTAGAAGATTATGTTGAATTTGAAATCGTAAGGGT